GATATTAACTTGGCTCAACTGTCACTTTTTCTTCACCAGTTTCCCTGGCCTCCTTACATTCCCACTCCTTCTAGTCTTCCTTTATTTTTTCATGACATGTTATCACTTTCTAACATTATAAAAGATGCACTTCATTCTCTTTACTGTTTTCCCACATAATATCATTGCCCTCAATAGCAAAAAATCTTCTCTTGCTAATTAATGTGTTTCTAGTGCCTAGAACAGTGCTTATGCTATAATAGGTGCTCAACAAATATTTGTCAGATGAGCAAATTAGATGGATATAAAAGGAAAGGTGTTGGCAGTGATAAAATAGCGATGATTAATAAAGGCAAACCTTCCAGAAGAGATGTAATTTGAGGATTAGATGAATTGGTGGGTCTGTGGAGAAGGGGACTCAGAATTAAAATGGTGACACTGAATTGGAAAAATATGGCTTGGAATGAATAAAAAACATGAGATCATAATTGGAAGTAGGTTTCATAACTGGAGATAGAGGAATGGTGGACTTGTGAGTACTTTGTGATTTCACCAAAAACATCAGAATCTAAACTAGAAAAGAAAAGAGGCAAAGGCAGATAGCTATGAAGACTATGCAGGGCTAGAGGAGTAGCAAGGGGCAATGATGCAGGATATAAGGAACATATAGAAAATAGAAGGGGAAGGGGAAGACTTGGGTGGGGGGAGGGCAGAAAGGGATAATCTTTGGTTTCTAAATCCCAGAAAAAAAAAAACTAACCTATAAACGGAACAAATAACAAGATTTATTTCCCCCTTTAGAGAAAACTGAAAGACAAAGCAGTCAATGGGATGTTAGATTTATAGTACGGTAAAAACTAAATGTAAGCTCACAGGCTGTGGGGAAAAAGAATGCTACTTATAAAGAAGACGGTTTGTGGTAAAATACTTTCTTCTACAGTTACCAGAAAAGAAAAAGAGGACATAACTATGAGAAGAGGATAAAGACAGTAAAGGAATGTACAGAAATTTTTAATAGAAAATCACAATGTTTTTAATAGAATAGGTGGAGAGATGATGTGTCGGGGAAGGATGGGACAGCTGGGACTGAGGACATGGAGGGAGAGAAAAGGTCTAAAATAGATCCCATGAGGAGAAAGCCTGAGAGTACAGAAAAGACAATTAAAAAGACTGCCAAATAGCAGCAGAAACCAGATTGAAGTTTGAAAGCATCCAGTTCTAATGAGCCAAATCTGCAATGCTTTGTTTGCCTCCAGCAGTGTTCTCTCTCCTGGGAGAAGAAGCAAAGGGAGCAAGAGTTAGAGGTAACCAACATTTAAGAATTTGCTGGATAGGAAAAGGTCTGTAGTGGTTGTTGATGAATAAGAGGCAAATCTTGAGCAGTAAAATCTAATTCATTTGAAGCCAGGAGGGCAAAAATCCTTGACTCTGATCACTGAGGAGCATTTGCAAGGAAATGAGGAAAGTAATAATTAGGAGTCCTAGACTGGAAGCTGAAACTTCCATAGAAATTAGAAAGCTTCTAATTTCTCACCTGCCTCCCCACCACTCCTGCTGAGACCACAGGAAAGAGAAGAAGCAGTAAGTAAATGAGATTAGAAGATTCTTAGCAGAGGATGGCCTTGGGATGAGGGGAAGGGAAGGAGGGGTAAACAGAAGGGAGAATTTGATTAACAGGAACGAGGTGACTGTCTGAATTTTGAATGCATTTGTATGTATTTCTAAGACACTAGAGTTATTCATTTTCAGATAAACTTCATGCAACCCAGTAGAAACAACAGTGGTGTTTTTTTTTTTTTTGTTACATATGGTTTAAAATTCTTATTACTCTGCTTTTTAATGAAGTCCCTGATGGTGCAATAAAATTATCTCTAATGCAGAGTTGGCCCCTCCACCTCTCCAGCTTCTCACCTCACTCTCCACACTGTTCACTCTGCTTCAACCACCTCCGCCGTCTTTTGGTTCCAGGAATAAAACAAGCTTATTCCCAAATGGGGGCACTTTCATCAGCTGTTCCTGGGTGCCTGCCGCACTCTGCCCCCAACCAGTCCAGGTGATCCTTCTGGAGAGCTGGGCTCAGCTTAAGCACCACCTCCTCAGTGAGGCCTTCTCTGACCATTAACCTAAAGTACCCTGCATACATTTTCATCCTACCACCTTGTCTTGCTTTGTTCTTTATTCCTGAAACATTATTACCTGGTAATATCTTGCTTATTTTTTTGTGTGTTTTGTGGTCTACCACTTTCAATTAGAATATAACACCCAGGAGGAAAAGGATTCTGTTGTCTCAGTCACTATCTTTAGCATCTCAAATACATCCAAGCACACAGCATACATTCACCTATCTGGTGAATAAATATATGCTTGAAAACTTGCTACTTCAATGCTTACTAGGATGGAAAGCTGTATTTAGTACAAGTTTATTCACAACGCTCCACACCAAAGAACTTCAGAGGTAGAAAATGGTATTCTTGCTGACTTAAAACAAACTCAAAAACTCCTGTCTTATTCTAAGCAATAAATATGATGAGGAAGTAAATTTTATTTTTAATGAAGGGATAAAGGAGAAAATATCTTTAAAGACGAATCTGAATAAATGTCAATAAAATTTTAAGTGATCAAATAGGTATAAAAATGTCAGTGTTATTTTTATCATACTCAAGGAAGGCTAGAAACAGACAGGTTTTACAGAGTTTGAACAGTGTGGGATTTAATTAGTTAGGGCATATACACAAACAAAATGTCAGATAAATTTTCCAACAAATAAATTCTATAAATTATGAGCAATGTTTTTTTTCTGTTTGTCTTGCTATATTAGATCTAGAAAACAGGATTAATTAAGAGGTTAAAAGGAAATAGACTGTAATCTCTTCTCCATGAAAGGCAATATCTAAATAAGAAATTCAGTCTTCAGCTAAGTTTTCACATTTATGTTGAAAGTATTCTCAGCCAGTTCATTAAAACAAACAAACAAACAAAGCAAGAAGGAAAAAATGTTAAAATAAAATCTATAATGCTAATGAATGATTGATGTTACAAAATTTTTCACGAAATCATATAGGACATTACTTACTAATCATGATCCTCTGAAATATAGGTAAAATTTTTCAATAGAGCCTGCTTCAGCATTCCCTCAAAGTGCCCATGTAGAAACCAAAAATCAAAAGACTTAATAAATAAGGAAACCCCAGACTTATCCAAATAGAAATGTTTTACAAAATACCTGACCTGAATTTTTCAAACACATTAAGGTCAACAAATACAAAGGAAGGTTGAGGAATATTTTATCTTTAGACTGTGATTTTGTATGCAGATGATTTCACTCTTAATAAAGACAGTATTTAAAGATAAATGGATGTATAAATGAATAATTATGACTGATCTAATACAGGACTACAAGGCTATCAATTGAAACAAAATACTCACTCATGTCAGTGATTTAAATAATAGTTCAAAACTGTAAGAATCACATACTATAGGAATAAAGAAAAATGCCTACATGTATTGCTTATGCTCTAATAATTCATCATTACTTTGATAAATGAGATGTATAAGATTTACAGTGAAATGTAAGGATTTCTTGGACTGAACCTTTATAAATTTATTTCATTGCTCACTAATATATGACATTTTAGAAAAGTACAATGACATCATTTCAATTTTAGTTGAGAATTTGATGGGGACTTAAAAATCAAATTTCAAATATGGTTTGATGAGGTAAATCTTTTCTTTTTATGAATAAAAATCATAATTTTTAAACTGAAGCACTTATTACAAAAATAATTTTTAAGAAACAGTGTTGAGGTAGTAATTATACTATCTTCTCTAAAGAGAAAGAAAAGAAGTTCATAGAAACTGAATATTTTCCTTAAATTTCTGATAGGCATTATATGATAGATGCGAAAAATTATAATGGCTTGCTGTCTCCTTAGACAAAAGCAACTATGTGTAATCAAAGATCTTACACTTTGGTATAAAGACTGAATTTATGTTACTGTCAATGTTAAGTTCAATATTGTTATAGTTAATATATAATAGCATTTTAAGATTAAATGAAAGAAAAAAGTTAAAAGTTGAAAGTTAAAATATTTCTTACTTTTTTTAATTACCTAAAGAAAAATAGACATGCATGCACACATACACACACACACACACACACACACACACACACACACACACACAGATGTTCCACTGTTGGTCTCAAGTATTCAGCAGGTTACCAACCAGCTAGGCAATATTGAGGTCCCAAATAATCTACTTCTTTTTATTGTTTCTTTCCCTTTCCAACCTGACTCTCCTCAGAGAGTAGCAAATTTTAAGTATTTGGGGCCTTTCAATGGTATTTGCCTCTTAAGGAATAATGTGCAGCACATAGCTATGCTGAAGCAGAAAAAGAAAAAAATCTCTTTTTAAACAAAACTAGTCAAGGTTCAGCTGAGGAAATCTATTGACCCACTTTGAAATTAAAATGCTTCTTTCGTGCACACACACACACACACACACACACACACACACACAGAGGGGATTTTCCACTGAGGTTGTACATAAGAGATATTGAAGCTCTAGCAATGACACCCCAAATCAGCATCCTCAAGGGAAAAATATGCACATTGGGTTCAGGCTATTACCAATTACCTTGAGTTTTTTTAACCTTAAATGTTTAAAAAATATGAAAATCATAAAAAATATGAAAAATAATGATTATAGGAAATCCAAGTTTATAATTAAAACAGAACAACATAATCATTTCTAAGGCATCATCTTTGTTCCTTTTTTTTCAGTAAGTTTTCCTGTATTAACATCAGGCATGTAACCATCAAAACAATAAAGCTGGATTTGCAAAGTAATAACAATTTAGTGTTACAAAGATATAAGAGATGTGTTATTACTTTCGTTATTATGTTATTACTTTCATTATTATTATTTCATTATTATTAGACCAATTTATGACAGGTATTGTACATATAATATAATGCAATTATGGAAAAAAAACTTGATGGCATATCTATGTTTTTACTCACCAGTTGTTTCCACAATGCCTTCTAGGATGACGACAATCTCGAACTGTTCAGTTTGCATGCTTCGCTGGGATAGGTCATAAAAGGGGCTTTTGGCATCGATCACGTGGCAAATTGTGAGGGGGGACACAAGAAAAAGTTGATCTGCCCCTGTACTAAAACCTACATCCAGTTCAAGTTGGTCAAGGGGAAGGAACTCACCCTCAGGTGTCTGTCGAGACTAGACAAGCACACAGAAAAAGAGAAGAAATCACCACTTGTACTGAAATTTTCAAGGCAGCCCAACAGTAATTTACATCATTGCCAACATTCTGCACTATCAATCATCTGCAACAAAATCCAAACAAATCATTATGCAGCTATGTTCTAGCAAATGGGCCGAAATCCCACATAGCTCGTGCGGAACATACATGCATTATTTATAATATACAACTTGCTATAATTACCCTTCCCTAACTCGTGAGCTTTGGAGAAATGCCTGGTCCAACAATGGCTGTTAGCACAAACTGTGTAAGTGAGTATACACGTGCTACAGCTTGACACAAAGCACTGTGTGATAACTCATTGCATGCCAGAATTTTCTTTCCTCATATAGCAAATAAATAGGCAATTGTCATGTAGTTACTTAAAGCCAAAAAAGGTTGACCATCATATAAGAAAATATTTATCAAAATATTAAAAAGAGAAATAAAATAATTTATTTTTCTAGGACTTTGGAAAAGTTACAAATGAATATAAAGTGGAGTAGAAGTGTAAAAGCATCATATTAAATTATATACATAAAAGGTCACATAATAAAAATAAAAGGCTGATGCTTTTAGCTAATGACTTTCAAAATCCTAATAATAAACTGCATTGTAATTGTTTACTTTTATATTTATGAATTTTAAAGCATCATGAAAAAATTGCATTAAACTGAACTTAATCAAAATACAATTTTAAAAATTTGTACTTGATCAACATAGTTCTGGAAAACTTTCCACCCGCTGACTAATTGAAAATTAGTATGACTTTAAAATTAGTAATCCATGAAAGTAAACCTTATCATCTTTCTTTTATGTTCATTTTAATTTTGTTTTCCATATGTGTTATGTATAGCAATCACATATAAGCAAACATTTAATAAGTTTAACCTACAAATGATGGTGTTAAAATAAGAGATGGGTAGTCAGAAGTTGTACACTGAAAAAAGAAAATTAGGGAGGAGGAGCCCATGCTGCTGGTCAAATGGGACTTCAAAGAATTTGGTATATTTTAACAATCTCTTTGAAAAGCTAATTTAATAAACAAAACTGAAACTGTAAGAATAGCCTTTCCAATGAAATGAGGTCTTAAAGACAAAATTCTTACTCTCAGGGTCCAAAGAAATACATTGCCTTTGTATACTGAGTAAATGAGTTTGAAAATGGTGATTGGTTTAGTAATATGTCCTTTGACAAACAGAAGAAAGAGTTTTAAATTGGTGGTAGTTTATTATGCAGCAATTGCTACACAGAACAATTGTTAATTCAATTAACACAAAAATTAGTCAATTAGGGAAGCTACTTTATAGTTACTCAGGAATATTATTTACACAGAAGAAAATCCAATGAAAAAATTAAGACTACTTTTCTGCTCAAATTTTTGGGTAGAATTTTTTAAAAATGAAAGTAGAAGGGAGAAGGAAGACAGAGAGAAGAAATGGGAAGGAAAGGTAGAGAAGAAAAAGGAAGGAAGAAAATGATTACTGACCAAAGAGAAAAGAAAACACACAGAAAAACCTGATGGTATTAAAACAAAAACAGCAGCTCTAGCAACCAATGTTGGAGAAAACTAGGCATTTTCAAGGCTGTATGAAAAATTTCTCTTTGGAGCTTTTTCAAGTCACCTATATTTCTGAACCTACTTCCACATTAGTAAAATATGAATGAGATCATTTTTCCAACTGCACAGTTGCATAATAAGTATTGATGGCTATAACAAAATAAAATCCAAATGCAAAAAAAATAAATAAAAACATCCTTGACATTGTTCTTTCACCTAGTTAGAAACAGGTGCTGTATAAACACAAGGTGGTATTTTGATATATCTGATTAGTGATCAAAATTGGACCATTTTACTGACTATTCTAAGCTATCCTTTTCCTATATTATGACAATGTTGACAATGGTAATTCATTAAAAACTAAATTTTTATTTCATTTAATAATAAGTTTATCCAAAAGAGATTTTTTTCTAATCGTTTTATGTGCATACCAATACTAGGATTTGTCTCATTTTTATGCTATTTATTTACACCTGTGCCTCATTCTAAAAGGCTTTAGAGTAAGTTCTTAAGTTTTATTCAACATTCAACAAATCATTCAGAAAATCATGAAAAGAAGAAGTGGCCTAAAAACAGGCAGGCTATCATCAGGAGAATGTCAATGGTAAGAAATATTACATTTTTAGCAAAGCAGTTTATTCAGGAATATTATTTATATCGAAGAAAACCCAATAAAATTATATTTTAAAATTAAAAATGCATGGATTTTCTTTATTCAAGCTCAATATATCTTCTAACTTCAAATACTTGTTCTATATGCTCCAAATGATTACATTTTTTCTCTCACTTGCTGTGAAAATTTGTATCTTATCCAGATCTTCCCATTATGTGACATATGGAAAAAGTACTAATAACTGTGTATCTCTGTGTGTGTGTGTATGTGTGTGTGTGTATGTATATATATGTGTGTGTGTGTATGTATATATATGTGTGTTTATGTATGTTTATATATATAAACATACATATATATTTGCTTTTCATGTGATTTTATATATATATATACACGTGTGTGTGTGTGTGTGTGTGTGTGTGTGTATATATATATATATATATCTTCATCCAAGGATTGAACCATGGGGCACTTAAACCACTGAGCTACATCCCTAGCACTTTTTATATTTTATTTTGAGATGGTCTCCACAAGTTGCTTGGGACCTCACTAAATTGCTAAGGCTGGTTTTGAACTCACAATTCTCCTGCCTCAGCCTCCTGAGCCACTGGGATTACAGGCATGCTTTCCATGATTCTATATTTTTCAAATAAGTGATAGTCTCTACATATACATTAAAAATTGTTTTCCACTGGATTCTATATAATTTAACCTTTCTTTAAATTACTGAGACTTGCCCCACCTATCCACAATTTTATGATCAAGGTGTTCTTCCTTTATGTTAGACCACCAACATGTTTGAATTTAAATATGCTTTTCTCCCTCTTTGTTGTTGTTGTTGTTGTTGTTTGACTCTAATAGACTATCAATACTATTACTAATTGGAATTAGAAAGAAGTCTTTGGCTCAGGTCAAAAGCCAAGGGTATGGTTATAGTGTGGCAGCTGCTTAAAGAGCTGCAACTGTTGTTCTGAGCTCTCAAGTATAACCAAATTATGTTATCACTGCTTACTTTCAAATTTCATAAGTGAAGTGAGAGGTATTTTGTTTAAGGAACTATGCTATGCACATGTATATGAAAGGGAAAGACAGGAAAAGTTTGAATTATGTCTGTGCCTTTATAATATCAATCTGCAATCTATTACATGAATGTATAATAGAATAGTAACACTGATACTCCATTATTTTTATATTATCTTATATAGTATCCACTATTGTATTTTGGAGACATTTTATAAAAGGTAGACTATGTTTAGATTTTTAAAAAAAGCACTTAAATTTTCTTCATTATATCATAAGACTTATGACATAAAAAAGAAGCCTGACATTAAAAAGGTTATTTGTTATTTGGGTATAATTATCTTCTTTAGTTCTATTAATTTCTTAATTCTAAAAGGAACACAGAACCATGATAATTTCTTACCTAGAAAATTTGTAAATGGGTATGATATAGAACAACAATAATTGAAACTGTTTTCAAAATCAAACAACTGCTAAAAGTTCAGATAGATGTAATTTATTAACATTTCTAAAAATCTGTTTACAAAGGTTGACTTCTATTTTATGAAATAATCATTAGAATCATAAAAACTGTGGAATGAATAAGAAAGTAAGAAAAAAAATGAGAGAAAAGACAATGAATAGGACATTGATAATTCTTAAAATTTAGAACATAATTTGAATAATCTATGACCTGACAATGACTTCCATAAAACTTTTATTTCCCATTTTCTGAAATCATAGAAAAGAAATAAAGATGGTTTCAACATTTTAAAGCTGTGCTGGTTGGCTGCATTATAGCAAATACTTGACATTCTAAGAAAAATTGGGGTATCTCAGGCTGAAAATTTGTTAATATTTACTACCCCAAAATATGAACACCTTTGATTTTTGAAATGAATTGGCACATTTAGGTTGTGGCAGTAATTTCTAAGTTATTCTTCATAATAATAACATACTTCTTAATATTTAAATTATACACATTTCTATTATATGCAAATGGGATCTACATAGAAGGCTTATGCCCCCACTTTATAGTCTTATGTACAAATTTCAAAGAAGCAATTAATTTCAAATTATTTTGAATTCTGTTGGAATCCAAAAGGAACTGTAAGGTCATCAACTACAATTCTCACTGCAGGTGACAAAAGAATCAAAAGTCACTTGTTCCTGGAAGGGACCACCATGTTCTAGTACTTTCAGAGAAATGGCTTTCATATGACAAAGGAAAGACTGTTGAGGGTTTATGCAAACACATGCACAAGCATGCACACACACACACACACACACACACACACACACACACACACACCCCACATACTGTCCTTGGGTACACATTTAGCACTGTCCTGGCAAAAGAAGACCCACATTTAGCCATCCTCCTTCTGGGGAACAGGCAACTAAATGACTACATTCACCCTCCAGGGCCACCCTTCACCAACACATTCCAAATCTTTGCTGGCTTTCTCCCATCTCTGAGCTGTAAGAGTGTTCTTTACCATCTTGGGGTGAGGGTTAGTGGATTTTGAATAAAGCATTTGCTCACTACCACCTGACTTTTCAGATTTACCCTTATCATATTCCAAGGTTTGATCCATGCCTTACCAACCTGCGACAAGTTTCCACTGTGTCAGGACCTATAGGGCAAGTTGTCAAGAAAGGAAGGAAAGGAGGCAAAGATGGAGAAAGCAGGCCATCCTTGCCTATAACCTTCCCTCATTTTGTCTGGGAATTTCATTTATCCTCTTTAAATATGTAATATATGTGTGTGCTCTTGTATGGTGAGTGGATGGTAAGTCGAGAAAAGA